TATATTGGTCAACCAGTGGATTTCGTGGATTGATTCCTCACCCTGGCCTCGAGTGCTTGAAGCACTGATTTGACATGGAGTCTATGGGTAGTGAGGTCGTTTGAATAGATGAGGATGTCGTCGATGTACGCTGTGCAGTACTTATCAAGGAATGGGCGTAATACTTCATTGATTCGGGCTTGGAAAGTAGCTGGGGCGTTTGATAATCCGAAAGGCATCACCATGCTCTCGAAGAGACCGTATCTTGTGTTGAATGCCGTCATCCATTCCTGGCCCTCCTGGATGCGTATTCGATTAAACGCCGCGACGACGTCAAGTTTGGTGAAGTACTTAGCTTGGCTTAGCTGTGAAAGGGTTTCTTGGATCAACGGCAGTGGGTATCGGTTCTTGATGGTTATTGCATTGAGTGCTCGGTAGTCAACGCAAAAACGAAGACCGCCGCCTGGTTTCTTCGCAAATAACACTGGCGAGGCTGCTGGCGACGTACTGGCGCGTATGAACCCCTTGTCGAGGTTTTCCTGAAGGAATTTCCGGAGGACGGTGAGTTCGTCTTCGGACATCCCGTACAGAGGTCCATGAGGTGGGGTTGTGTTAGGTTGAAGTTCGATTTTGTGGTCGCAGTCTCGGTGTGGAGGGAGTTTATCTGCCTCTGTCTGGTCGAATACTTTTAGGAATTCATGGTAATGTTCGGGTACTTTTGTTGCAGGGTCGATCCAGGTCTTAGGCTCAAGGGCTTTGCGAATGTCTTCGAGTGATGCGCCTGAAAGGTACATATCGGCCGCTATTTTCCGGGAGACTCGGAGTTCTTCGGTTTGTTGGCACCCGGAGTTGGGGGGGTGGACTGTATCCCGTGGCTGGAGTTCTCGGTTCATCTTTTGCATGTCCGTAAGTGCAGCGTCGAATCGTGCTTTAGGTTTTGCGAATGTGGAGGCTTCCGTGATGACGCCAAGATCAGCCAGCCTTTTGTCGATCTCGTAAAGTGATAGTGAGAATATATCGACATCGTCCTTTTTGGCTAGCATATGGAATGCGGCGGCGCCGACCCTTCGAGGTATTGATGGGCGTGGGTTTATGGCTGTGGTTGTCGAGACCGGCAGAGAAGGGGCTCCATACACCACCAGTTGGTATTGCCCCTTCTTCATGCAGCGTCTGCGGCAGTGGTCAGAGTTGAAAGTGACCCGGTTCGTGCTCCAATCGATGTTTGGGTTGTGGTCTGTCAGCCAGGGCTTTCCGAGTATGATATCATACTTCCCAAGCTTCGTGACGTAAAAGAGCATCTTTTCTTTATGCCCTTTGACTTCCATGTGCAGTTTTGCTACATGAGTGATATCGCCAGCCGAGGAGGGTCTTCCGTCGACTACGTTCAACCGGCGATGGTTTCGTAGTTTATAAAGTTCGAATTTGTTGGTATGCGCGAAGGATTCGTCTACAAATCCCTTTCCGGTGGCACCTGAATCAAGCATGGCATTGGTTGTGATTAAGCTTGCATTATTATCTCCGTGTAGAGTACATGGTAACAGCAAGTGAGCTTGGTTGGTGTCCAGAGAGGAAAGTTGTAGGTCGGCCTTTTTCTTGCGTCTCCTGCGGCGACTTCCGCCGGAGACTATACTTTTCCCTCCTTGCTGTTCCAGGGGGCCGTGGGGCAAATGTGCGCTGTATGATCCGTGGAATTACACCAGTTGCAGAGTCCATGGGCTGTGCAATAGGCTCTGCGAGCTTCTCTTTCATCCATGGTTCGGGGTTTACGCCCGGAAGCCACGTCTTTAGGCCCCCAGGAGGCGGCGCTCAGATCCATGGCGTCTCCTTCGTTCGTAGCCAACGGGGTTTGGGATCTCGATATTGCGGGGGCAGTGCTGGTAGGGGCCTTGTTGTTATTGCTGGGCTTCTTCTTATAGTAGTCGGCATTGAGCTGACGACATTCGCTGTCGCATTGCCTGACGAGTTCGATGAATTCCCTTAGAGTGGCGGGTGTAACTTTAAGGACCACAAGTCTCCATATGATGTCGGGGTGGAGAGCGCGTTTCAAGTGGGAGATCAACGATTTGTCTTCGAACTCAGTGAGTTTAGCGACGGCAATCCAGTTCGGTAGGAAGCTTGCGAGTGATTTATGGCCTTGTTTCATGTCGTATATCTCTTTTTGTGCGGTAGCGGCCGAGTCAATATCGCCGTACACTGTCTTTAAGGTGGCGATAATAGCCTCGACGTTCGTAAACTTGACTATGCCGTGTGATATATTGTGGCTGACCTGGGCGTGGGCGTCTCCACTAAGGCATGAAATGACGAACCCCATGCGTTCTGTTTCGTCTGTCCACCAGTCTCTGTTCATATGTAATTTGAGCTCCAATTTCTGTAAGAATTCTGGCAATTCGTTCGGGTTGTTTCCATTGAATGGGTCGGGTTTGGGGTGTTCGGCAGAGCGTTGGTGATGGCTTCCTCCTGTAGCGGCGATGACCTTGTACGCTTCTAATTGTCCCGCCATGTGGGAGATAGTCTCGTCTTTGTCGTTCGATTCCATGAGGGTGTTGCTCAGGCGGGTTTGAAGAGTGTCGATGTGTGAATTTGTGGTGTTGGCGACTTGGCGCAGTCTCATGATTTCTTCGTGCATGTTGGTTACGGCCTGGCTGAGGGCCGAGACTTCCCGCATGATGCCTGGAGCGTCATTAGCCCAGGCGGACCGAAATGCGGCTTCTCCATCGATGAATGAGAGTATCGGGACTGATGGGCGGAGATCTGTCGGGGGGGCGGGTGTGGTGGACCCGGAGGGTGTGTCTACTGCAGCTCCTGCCATAGTGTATTTTCGGTCGTGGTAGTGGACTCGTTTATTGTCGAATTGTGGTTGATTTGTTGGTTAATGGTTGATTTGTTGATTAATGGTTGATTTGGTTGATGTGGTTGATTTGGTTGTTGACTTATGGTTAATTGATTGATTGGCTGGTTGGTGGTTTGGGTGAAAGTTTGGTTGTCGGGGTGTTTTGGTGAAATTTGAATATGCTGGTGCGGTTGGGGTCGAAATCGATGGTCACGTCGTGGACGGTGATCCATCAAAGAGGGTGTCGGTGAACAATATGTGACGGTACAGGCGCACGAACAAGGTCGAGTGCGACTTGGATGAATTGATTGTTCACAAGGAGAAAAGGAGAGTTTCCTAAGGAGAGCTCTCACTGAAGCTAATTTACATGTATTCGAGGCGGGGCGCTCATTAAACCCCTGCTTCCCTCACACACACCCCCTTAGATGAGCTCCTTCTCAAAGTACTCATCTACAACTAGTTCGGCCTCTGTTGCAAGCTTCAGTGTCAGCACATCACGCGCTGGACCCCCCGGGACAAGCAGTCTTTCTGCCTCCCTTCGCACCTAGCCTCAATTTAAGGTCCGCTTGGCTGTCCGGGTTTTGAAGTCTCTCTCACATCATGCTTCGAGCTTCTTCCAGCTTGGTTTCTAGACCAATTCGGCATCGGACATCATCGATTCTCAGTTGCCGTAGGAATTCAGTGTGTCGACCCCTGGGTAACGCCTTCGTCATACCATCTGCTACCATGTCCTTTGATCCCACCCAACGCACCTTAATTCGATGATTTTGAACTTCTTGACGCAACCAGTGCTGGTAAATATCAACATGACGGAGCTGTGTGGTCAGCTTTGCTGACTCTTCAACTAACAGCCTAATAGTCTGCTTGTTATCAATCTCCAACCGCAAAGGTCCGTTCAACTGAACTTGTAAAGACTGAAGAAGTCTTCCTGCAGCTATCATCTCTTTAGCTGCCTCGGAGGCTGCTAGCAACTCGGCTTCTGTACTCGACGTTGTCACCGTGGTCTGCTTCGATGCCTTCCAGGCGATCGGCCCACCGTACAATCTCAGTACATAGCCCTGCGAGCTCTTCCGGTCTTCAGTATTGTCGGCGAATGATGCATCACTCGAGCCGATAAAAGTTTCTATTGAAGTTTTGTTTTGTTGACTTCTGTTTCCAAGTCGCAGGCCAAATGACCTAGTGGCATAGAGGTATTGAATCACTCTATTGGCTGCCTTGTGGTGCTCCTCGCTTGGATTCAGATTGTGTCGTGCAAGTCGACTGACTGCAAATGCAATATCAGGTCTGGTTGATATGGCGATAAATAGAGTAGATCCGACTTTTTGTTGGAACTTTTCGGTTGATTGCTTCGAGGCTTGTGTCTCTGATTTCCGCAGCTCTTCGAGGCTCATCGGAGTGTCTGGCGCCTTGTCCTCCAGCTGAATGGCAAACTTATGCGCTATTTTATCAATATAAGCATCTTGCGTCAGCCAGATCGTTCTTTGTCGTCTGTCTCTCAATATGTGTATTCCAAGAAACCACTTTGGTTCACCCAGCAGCGTCATTTGGTATCGGCTTTTCAACCCTTCGATAGCTGCTTTGGCGACCACGGCATCGGCTTTCTTGTACGCCCATATAATGTCGTCCACAAAGAAGAAGACAATCACAGCACCTTTGATCATGATACATGGCTCCTGTGGGACTGGCTGAAACCCTAGCTCCTGCAGGCTCTTGGTCAACTCCTTCTGCCACAGCAGCGGGGACCTTCGTAGACCGTACAGGGCTTTCTTCAGCCGTAACACTCTGCCGTATTTCTCATAACCAGGTGGCATGCGCATATATACAACTTCGTCCAAGTCACAGTTGACAAATGCGTTGACGGCATCCATTTGTTCAAGCTCTAGGTCGTGCTCAGCAGCGATCGCTAGTAGCGCTCGAAATGACATGCTGGCTAATGTTGTGGCCCGTGTGGGAAGTGCATTTTTCTCCTGCTGATTCCCGCACACAACTAGCCTCGCCTTGCATTTCTGAAGGAGACCGTGCTTGTCCGTCTTGTAGGTAAATACCCACATGCAGTGTAGAACCTTTTGACCTTTCGCTTGTGACCAAGGTACCTCAATAAATGAGTTCATCTGGTCATGCGATGCAAGGTGTTCTTTCTGTGCTTTGATGAATTGGTCCTTGAATGGGTGATCTTCAAGGTCCTTCATAGTCTTTGGAACTTCTGGTAGGTGACTCTTGCGAGGTTGAAACTTGATCCCAGCATTAAATGCACCGTGGACCGCAGTCTGAATTCGGGTTGGATGGAATTCGTGAAATCGGTAGTTTGCACTGGTAGGTGGGACATCGTAACTGCAACAACTTGAGTTGTGCCGTGTATTCTCCACCCCCTCAGGATGATCGGCCCGGTGACAGATCCGAATATTGGCTGTGAATATAGCTTCCGGACTCTCTTCAAGATCCGGGTCTGTCAATGGCGGCGTATTATAATACCCTTGCTCTTCTGACTCTTCACACCGTTGTTCGTCGTCTTCGCCGTCCGGCTCATCCTGCATGCTTGTGTTCACCACGATTTCATCCAGAACTTCCTCCTCCTCGTCTTCCGAATGATAGACTGTTTGATCTTGCTCGATTATAGTCTCCATAGCCTGCTCATTTTCTGGGATTTCGATCTCATCCAGTAGCTGGCTAATTGACTGCAACAGGTCCGGTTGTGCTACCTTGTTCTCAAAAAAGCTTGACTCGTCAAAGATGACATCTCTGGTCAGGATAACCTTATTCTTGTGTGGAATCCAGATTTTGTAAATATTTGAGGCTTGGTAACCAACAATGTAGCCAATATGTGCTCGTGGTTCAAGCTTCTGCTTTCTCCGAATCTTGAGCTGGGCAGTTGGCGTCATCGCGAAGGCTTTGCATCCATACGCTTTGAGATGGCTAATTATCGGCTGCTTCTTAAAAGCTCGTTCAAATGGACTGTGCCAATGGTTGCGCTCAAGTGGTGTTCGATTGCGCAAGTAGCAGGCTGCTTCCACAATGTCCTTCCACAAGTCATGTGGTAGGCGCGCCGCTATTCGCATCGTACGAGCCTTCTCCATGATGGCACCCCCTGACCTCTCAGCGCCTCCGTTCTGAGCCTGAGTATTCGGGGCTGATCTTTTTGGTTCGATTGATCGAAGTTTCAGTTCCTTCCGCACCTCTTTGCTGAACAGTTCACCATCTGATCGAATGACTTTTGGGATGGCGTTGTACTGGATAGTTACCCAGTCTAAGAAGTCTCGGAGAATCCTTCGATTTTCTCTCCCTAGACCATGACTCTGCATAAAGTAAGGGAAAACAAGACCTGAATAGGCATCCGTGATGAACATGGCTCTGGAATAGCCTTGGTAGTCTTCCGTAAGATCGGTCCAATCGACCCAGATTTCCTCAAATGGCTTATTTGGCCGTATTGGCCGTCGTCGAGATACCTGCCGGCGCATCTTGCCTCGGCCACAGTGGTCACATTCTGCCGTTTTTCGTCCTTGAAGCCTAACTCCGAGGCACTTCTTTCCAAGATGCTCAAGGGTCTTGGGGCTCGGATGACCCAATCGGTTGTGCCACAGCGTTCCGTCTGCAATAGCATCTGGTCTCTGGTCTCGTGTAGTCCGTCTTTTTCGTCGGGCTATATAGGCAGCTGCCGCTTTTATGCTGGCATCTGTTGTTTCCTGATAGTGAAGAACCCATTGTCTGCAATGTCTTTGAACCACACAGATCAGTGTTCCGGCCTTGTGGATCAGCCTTGTCGGGGTACTGATTGTATCCCAGCGGATACCCTTATCGTAAAGACACTGAAATGATACAACGTTGACTGCAAAAGTAGGACAGTATGCAGCATCCCGGATTCGTAGGATACTGGTTGATCCATCTTGTTTCTTGACTGGCACATCGACCCGACCATAACCTTCAATCTTGACCTCTGAGTCACCAGCAATCAGGTAGTGTTCCTCTCCTGCCTCCGGTTTTCTCATCGATCTGAACTTGGCAAGGTCGTTGAATATGTCCAGTGAGGCTCCGGAATCAAGGATAGTTGACGACCGTAACGGATACTGGTCAGCTTGGAGACAAGTTCCTAGGCATATCGGAAATGCTGCTCCTTGTGGCAATGCTTGACCAACAAGTCGTCTGTCCAGCCTTGACTCGTCTAGTTGTCAATTTGGTGACACTTGCTTCTGGTCTTGGCTCGGTCTGTCCTGATCCAGTTGGGCTGTTTTTCGAAGCTCGGTTATTTTTGCTCTCAATTCTGGATCACCAGCTAGAACCTTGCTGACTAGACCCTCTAGTCGATTATTGACTGGTACTCGTTCCGGTCGGAGTTCTGGAATGGCTGTCCAGCATGAGCTAAGGTCATGTCCTGGTTGTCCGCAAGCTTCGCAACACAATGCTTGTCTCTTGTTGCTGCCTGGCTGGCTATTTCGTTGCTTCCTTTTCCGGTGTGATGGAGGAGTTTCATTTTGATGTTGTCCGCTCGACTTTTCATCAGAGTAGAATGCTGTTCCTCGTCTGATTCCGGTCTTTGGTGGCTGAGTTGGAAGGGCGGAACTGGCCCATGTCCGCAATTTGACTGCGACACTTCCAATGGACCATTCTTGGCTCGCGTCTGTGGAGCTTGGAGGAGTATGCGTTATTGCGCCTTGGATCGCTAGTGCAGCCTCTTGCAGTCTGGCAAGATCGTCAAGGTCATGAATCTTTAACAGTTGCTGGACTCCACGCTCAACACTTTGGTTGTAGGCTTTGGTTTTGGCCGTAAACAACTCTGCAGCTTGTCTGCAGTTGTCAGTGAAGTTGCCGTTATGCTTGGCCATCAAGCGGGCAATGTCAAATAACCAGCGGCCGCCTGTGACTTCGAGCATTCGACGACGTGCCGCTTTTAGCAGGAAATTCTCCCACTTCCAGATCCAGTCGGTGAAAGTTGTCGAATCGGTACAACTGAAAGACTGAATAATCTGCTGATATTCCATTACGAGTGCATCAGCAGCCTTGGTCTGTTCAGCGTTGACCGCTACCGCCAGACTGTCTATCCAGCGCGGGAGATCATCGTCTTGATCGAGGTATCGACCTAGTCTTTCATCCACATAGCTGATGACAACACTTTTGGCCTTGATCAGGTTCGCCTTTTGGAGCTCATACTCCTTGGAGCTATCTTTCCAGTTGTCGCGTGCGAGCTTGAACGCATTGACCTGAGATGCCGTAAGGTTGGCTTCTGATTCGGCATTCGGGTTGAAGTCTGAAGCTTGCGGCCGTCTCGGCTTCTTCTGAAGAACCTGCGTTCGATTGATCGGCTTGATTGCCTCCCAGATATCTATATCGATTAAGCTTGCGACAAATTTCTGCCAGTCATCCCAATTGTCGATTCCTGTGAGGACAACTTCTGTCTTGGAGGGTGGCATTTTTCCGTGTCAAGAGGGGATTAAAACTTAGCTAACGTAACTCACGAACACTGTCTTTCGTGTTCAATCAATGTGCAGTTTTTACACAGCGTAGTTGGTTTTTATTCACAACTTCGAGCGCGGGGCCGGGCTCATAACTGTTGCGTTATCAGAGCAAAAAATGGCAGGTCTACTAGGATCTACTCCAGTAGCACTAATAGTAGCCTATATTCTACGCGACAGCTGTATGACGCGCCCGGAACCGGCAAAACAAGCCTGAGCTTGGCAGCTGCTGGAAAGTTTGGCCTGGACGTATATGCCATGAACTTGTCCAAAGTCAACGACGCGACCCTTGAGACATTGTTGAGCAAATTACCAACACGATGCGTCCTCCTCCTAGAGGACATCGATGCTATCGAAAGCGCAAAAAGTCGCGAGAACAACGATGCTGCGTCGAAAGAGTCCACAAACAGCAACGTGACCCTCTCAGGCCTTCTTAACGCAATTGACGGGGTAGCTTCCGTGGAAGGCAGAGCTCTCATAATGACAACTAATCATTTCAATCGCATCGACCCGGCTGTTATTCGACCAGGACGTGTGGACAAGCAGTGTATTCAAAAGCCCCGCCTGTGCCTGAGCCTGCCCCTGCCTGCCTCCGCCTAGCCTTGCCTAGCCTGCCGATTCCAGGTGTCAAGCCTAGCCTAGCCTCAGGGAAGGAACTACGCCAGCCTGCCTCGACAAAAGGGGCGGCTGGGCTGGGCTGGGCTGGGTAAATTAGGTGGCGCACACTACACACCCCCCCTGTAGAGCCATTGTAACTTGCGTTGCCACCTATTTTCTAGGGCAGTTGACGTATATTCATTGCCCTTTTATCGTGACCCTGTAGGCAATGAGACTGTTTTCCCCTCCATCATCACAATGTCAGTCCTATCGACACTGCTACCATGGCGTCTTTTACCGAACCAGAGAGCGACAAGAGCTCCGAATTAACTACCCTTTACTCTGGTGACACGCCGACTCTCCTTGGTGAAGAACAACCTTCAATTAGGGCTCTTCTTGAAGCTCATAACGACGCGGCCTACGACCTAGCAGTGGCCCAAATACCACGAGACCACCGAGTACAAGTCAAAGGAATATGGTACGTGCGGTATGAACCCTATCGTCATAGACGGTCCCGCCGTTCTGCCTGGTATTGGGCTTCGGAGCAAGCCGAAGAGTTGATCCGGACATCTAAAGGCAAGTACCTCCTTGCCCAGCTCATATGGAATAGGTACATACTTATATTTGCAGGCTTGGACAGCAGTGGGAAAGAGCTACGAAACCGCAGGATATGGAAGTGTAAGCACTGCAACGAAGTCCAATTTGCAGACGCAAACTCCCAAAACAAACCCACCCACCTCCGTGTCCATGGGATCTCGAAGCACGGCCGGAAGGCCCCTCGAGAATGGTTCCAACGGTCCTCCATACCTTTGTCGAACAGCGACAGCGGCGGCGAGAATGAAGAGACCACGCCAATACGTCAGTCGGGGGCCTATGTCCAGCTAACTACAACTGTCAAGAAGGCTCCTTTTGAGGAAGCTCTAATCGCCTTTTTTGTGGTCTGTCAGATAGCACTTCGACTGGTCGCGGATGAGCTATTTATCGGCCTTCTTCGAATAGTATACCCATCGATCGACAAGCTACTACCGGGCTGCGGAAATACATTGCGAGCCCTAGTGATGGGGGCATTTAACAAGCGGAAGGCCCATCTCAAGAGGGTCCTAGCTCGGTCAGTCAGTAGGATTCACCTTTCCTTTGACCTCTGGACCTCTCCAAATCACCTGGCCCTCCTCGGAGTCGTTGCCCATTTCATTGATGAGTTTGGTCAGAACCAGTCGGTATGTTGAATTGTATTAAGAGTATGACTAACTAGATAGCTATGTACCCTCAACTCTGACATTTTCTTTTAGATTCTTATTGCAATACGACAGCTACATGGTTCCCATTCCGGCGAGAACCAAGCAGAGATCATAAAAGAGGTTATTCACGACTACAATCTCCAGAATCGACTTGGTTATTTTGTCACAGACAACGCTTCGAATAACAATACTGCGATCGACTCCATCGTCGCCAGCTTCCTCCCCCACCTTACACCCAAGCAACGGCTTGGCCGACGTCTACGCTGCCTCGGTCACGTAATTAACCTCTCTGCCAAGGCCTTCCTATATGGTACAGAATTTGATGCTTTTGAGAAGGATGCCGAAGCATTCAAAGAACAGTCGTTACTGCTGAAGGAGCTGCACCTTTGGAGGAAACTGTGAAAGGCCGCTAGTAAGTTGATTCAACTATCTAGTTCCTATG